CTCACAATAGCTTTGCATGTAAGGACTTTTTTGTATCTTCTAGCCCCACAGGAAATCCCACCTACATACTCTTCAGTGAATAAAGCTACAACCAAGAAAACTATTTCCACCTTGAGCAACATTGAGCCTGAACACGACTATGATGATGTTGAAATTCCTGGAAATACTCAAAACCAGAATTTGAAAACAAACGTTTCTTCTTTTTGGCATGCCAGAGAGAGTTCACACAACTTATTTTAGAAGTATCAAGAATGGTTGGCCTTCAGTACTGAAAACCAGTGGTGATTTCATGAAGCGTTGTAAGATAAATACTTCATGGATCTTGATGTAGACACCTCAGTGATCAGATCTGCAGCCGGAGGAATGACACCAGTGCCCACCCCCCGAGGACTAAGGGGTCAGTCCTTGGGCCTCTTCAGTTCAAGTTTCCATGGGTCGGACCTCTCTGCTCCACACTCACACCTGTGAGAAGCAACTCATTTCTCAACACTCTCCTTTCTTTCACATGGTTTGTGGGGTTGTGAGAGATAGATAATCTTAGTCTTTGATTGTGCAGCACCTCCCAGTTCCTATCCCCAGCTAAACCCTCACCAATCTGACTCCCTTTTGCCCCACCCATCCCTGTATGGAAAGGCTGGGTGCCAGTTACAGCTGAGCACTCTTATGCACAAGTCACTTGGTGAGTTTGTAAGGGTGGAAGTGCTTTTTGTTCTTATTCATCCTTCCCCTCTGCACACACCCTAAATTCCAACAGCTTTATGTTCCACAGACTAACAGAGAATCGAGTTCTTACCTGGCCTTTTCCCTGTGCTTGCAGGTGACACTCTAGCAATCAACTCAGGACAAACTTACCCTCTGGTTTACACCTAGAGGTGTTCTGCAGTAGGGCCATAGGAAAGCAGGATCCCCCCAGGAAAATTAGGGGCTCAGTGTCATTAACAGTTGCATATTCAACATGGGAGCTTAGGAAACCTAACAACCCCATCCATAGTTTTCCTTAGTGCTTGACCTCTAGGAGCTGATCTTCCTTGGAGTTCTTTCCCTGTCCCTGTCTCATCACTCTCTAAATACTCCTGGGGGAATCTCACCCATGCCCATGGGCTTGGTGGTCCCTTCTATTTTTATGACTTCCAAATTGGAAACTGCAGCTGAACCTTTTCTCTCTAGTTCCAGACTGGATTATTTCCAGGACATTTCCATCTGACCACCCTGTAAGACCCTCAAATTCAGCATATACCGTGAGAAATGGATTACTACCCTGAGTGCTCCTTTTTATTTCCAATATTCTCCACCACCTCCCACTGTGCCTCTCAAGCAGTTCTCTGACCAGTTCACCATTCTGAGGTCTGGCTGTTGCCAGGCACTGTCAGGAGAACATGAATAGCTTCCTACCTGGGCTCCTGCCTATCGCATCTCACCCTCTACATCACTTGTCACACAGCAGCTAGTGATGTTCTAAAGTGAACTTTGGATCACCTCATTTCCTTGATGAAATCTGCTCTTTGCGTATTAACCTCAGAGAAAAGTTCAAACTCCTTAACATGGTTTATAAGGTTTGTCAGGACCTGGTTACTGATTACCATTTGTCAACTCCTTCCTTCACCCCATTGCAACCTTTACTCTGGCCAGCTTTTGGCTCTGGCCTTCTGAAATGACTTCAACGTGGTCTCTCTTGCTCCCTTGACTGTGCACGGCACTGTCCCTGATGTACGGACTATTCTTCCTCACCTTTGCATCTTCTTATCTCCTCCTGGGTAGCCTTTCTACCTCAACTTTGGGTCAGGTTAGGTGCTCTCCTATGATAGAATTAGCACCAATAACCATCTGTCCACCTGTTTTTCTCTTCCACTTGATGGAAAGCAACACAAAGCCAGGGAACATGTCCTTTCCTCATTTGTTTTTCCGGTTCCTAGCCCATTATAGATGCTCAAAAATATACTCAATAACTGAATTGGATGAATGAACTACCCTGGACGTTCACAGATCTCCGACATGATCCCTCTAAAAAGGATTTCTTTTTGCGTTATAATTGCCTAGTTACTTTTCATCCTCTATTGTAATCTAGGGTTTCCCTTGGAGGGAACTTATCTGGCTTATTGCTGTTCATATCCAGCAGAAATTCTGGCATGTACTAGGCAATCAATAAATATTTATTAAATGTTAAACATTAATTGAAAAATCTACCAATCAGTTTGACTACTATGATCACTATCACACACCCCAAATTTTTCTGCTCTGGGCATTATAATTTTATTGAGACTTTACACTGGGAACACATAATGAAGCCATGTTTTCTACCAAGTAAATTGCTACCAGTTTGGGTGATAATATTAAATACATCAAGATTTCATGGGCCAGCAAGATAGCTCAGCAGACTAGAGCATCTGCTTAGGCAAGTTTAGGCAAGCACAGGGACCTCAGTTTGATCCCTTACACCACATGCTGCACCAGCCC